GGAACCAATGTGACTGAAGGAGACGCACAGGCTTTGGATCTGCTTTGCAAGTTGGCAGAGCTTCAGTCTGGTGGAGATGAAAACAGTCACGAGGCACAAGAAATCCTGGCAAAACTTGAGGAAGCCGATGATGATGATGATGATGATGATGAAGATTTAGCTGAGAAGTTAGCTGGATTGGATGTTGATTCTCTTTCTGAAGAGCAGCTCTGGTCATTGTTGTCCACCCAGGAGAAGGAGAAATTTGAGAATCTGCTAAAAGTTGGTGGCATCGCTGGGATGGTTGTCCTGTGGAGACCCTGGTGGGAGCAACATGAGAAAGAAACTAAAACCCTGATTGAAGAACTTCGCTTTGAAAATCAAGTAGAAGTGCGCACTGCGAAAAAAGGAAAACCCCAAAAAGTTGCTAGCGATGCTAAACAATCAGCAGTTCCTCCAATAAGTGCTAAAATCCCCCCTCTTCACAGGCTAACATCAAATCCGTCTCCTCTAGTGCAGTTCAATCTGATCAACGCTCTTTACGGATACACTTTCTCTCTGTGTCTCTTCAATGGAGATATTTCCGACACATTGCTGGAGTTTAGTCAGGCGCTGGTTTCCATTTCAGAGTTCTTGGGTGCTGGACGGGTCTTTAACTCTGTCCCGGAGGCTCTTGATGCTGGGATTAGATCTGTATCTGCTGGTGGATATTTCGACAGAGAAGACTCTTCAGCTCCTATTCGAGCTGTGGAAGCGGTGGCTCATGTGTTGACGGGACGGAGCAGAGAGGACGCTGAGGGATACACACTGTCTGCTTTGTCGCAGGTGCGCTCGGCATTGAGCAAGGCAAAGATGGCTGCTGCTACAGATGATGACGAGAGGATGAGACAGGGTTTTTTTCAAGCTGGAAAGAAGTGCGAGTTCTTTCAGTCTTGGGTGAAGGAGAATCCTGAGGTTTTGAGGAGATTGGCTGGAAGTGTGTGGACGGACTTTGAGAGAAGGGAGGTGGAGAGAGAGACATTAGAAGAGGACAGGAAACTGCTGGACGAAGCACGGGGGAAAAGTAGAGGTAAAGGTGCACTGATAGAAGAGGTTGAGTGAGATTGTGATGTGTGATTGTTTAAAGTAAAGAAATTGTTCATGAAAGCATTCGTTCCTAATGCCATTTTTTTAAAAGTGGGTTATTACATGGGTAGCGGTTTACAGCAAGGTATCGTTAGTTGACAGAAGTTAACGAGCAATGCTTTTATTACAATATTTAATTAATTTAGTAACAGTTTAAAATAAGGTTCCAGGTAATGTTGCTGCATTTAAAAATGCCGTTTGCCATTTGTTCAAACTACTTATTTAAAATGAGCTCTAACAACACAATTGTTGAGTTTTTTTGGGAACAACTTAATTGTTTTATGTTCAATCCACTTATATTTGTAAAAACTAATAAGCTAACTTAATTCAATTTGTGTTGGGGCAACACAAGCATAGTGTGGAACCAAGACTTTTTTACAGTGTGTATTAGCTGATTTGATCAAACGATGAACGATACAGTAACTGTAATATTTAATCATCTTTAACATTAGTTAAATAAAAATATGCTTCATTGTTAGTTGTTGCTAACTTATTGTTGAGCCCTGATATTAGTTAATGCACTAAGGACTGCCGGATGGCCCGGGGCCAGCGTGCGAGACCCTAAAGGACAGTAGTCAGGGTCGTTCTTGGCTTGATTAGGTCAGTGCTGCCTTGTCACTAAAGTTTAATTTGTCTGCGACTATTTGTCAATTGCGTGCAAATACAATCGTAGAATCGAGAAACAGTTTGTGCTTTTAAGCCTATAAATGTTACCTTCTCTGTCAAATCATAAACACCATACTGCTTTTCGGTTCCTCATATCTGATTGGATGTTGCGAGCATGTTTTTTTTTCTGTAAACTGTTTTTTCTGTAACAACAAGTACAACCAAGATAAGGCTACGTCAAATTATGAGGCTAAAAGTAAATGCCTGTTTCCAACATCTTGGAAGCAGACATTTCCGTGAGTACAACACAACGAAAACATTTTTGCAGTTTGCCGTCAGTTTCCAGGAAAAGCAGACAAGTCAGGAGCCTTTTTCAACAAGCAATTAATGAAATCAAAACTTCAAAACTCACGATAAAAGTGACAGCACTTTGAATTTTGCTCATTATAAATTTATTAACATTTGTAAAGTATTTAAATATTTTTAAATAAAGACGTAATTTTTGAGGATCTTTGAGAAGATGTTCTGAATAACATTAAGGCAGATATATTATAAAACATATTTAACATGTGTGGCTAAGAAATAGCTATTAACTTTTTTTTTTTTTGGTGAAATGAAAATTGCCAGTAAAAATTTTGGCAGGGCAAGTAAAAATCAGGCCAGAAGAAAAAATCCCTAAACCCTGAATATTACAAAAACAACTTTGGATTTTCATAATGCATTAGTATGTTGAAGTTAACATTAACTATGAATAATAGATGTTATTCAAGTATTGTTTATTCTTAATCTATGTTTGTAAATATGCTAATGTTTACTAATGGAATCTTGTTTTAAAGTGTTACAGCAATTTTTGGTAATGCTAATTAATAACTTGGAACTTAAGAGGTGAAAAAATATCATTGCTTTGAAATACAGACCTGGGGCCTGTTTCAGAAAGGAGGTTAACTGAAAACTCAGAGTATTTTAACCCTGTAATGAGAGAAACTCTGGGTTTTCCGTTTCAAAATGGCAGGTTTGTTAAACTCGAGAAAGCAGGGTAAGTCAAGCCTGTTTCTGAAAGAAAGGTAACTTTAACTCAGAGTCAGTTACTGTGGTAACTTACTCTGTGAATCTAACCTGGTCAGAAGCAGGTTTTATTCTCTAAACTCAGAGTTTCTGTCGGTCTCCCCCCCTTTTTTAAAGATGAAGCGGTATTTCTCGCCTTAGCCTTACGTTTCCACCCACCTATTTTAATGCTCATTTTGGATACGTGCATAAAAACGATTGATAGAAATGTCATGATGCACATAACGTTTTAAAATATGCATAAAAAACGTGCATAACTGAGTAGGATAAACTTTTATTCGATAGAAAATGTGCGCATAAACTACGATGGAAACCCTTTTACTGAACAAATTACAGTATGTACATTAAAAAAAAGATCATGATCATATGATAATGAAAATGTGTGTAAATGAACAAACCAGCAGGCTGGGCACACTATAACATGTCTTAAATATTGTTTTAGTCATTCTAAAATGCCTTAACTGTTTCAGTATTAGTGTATATTATTAATTACCTCCGAATGTCTGGTGCGTGTCAAGAGTCTCCGCGTCTCATGCCTTCAGACGCCCCCACGTGTTCATTGTGTTTCAGCATTGTCTTCTGACATCGAGGCGCAAGTACATTAATTTGGCTAAATAAAGAATTAATTGACGCAGCTTCTTCTACCACAGTAATTTCTGTTTTTACTGTTGATATTTGGTGCCAGTTTAATCAGGAAGTGACGATTTTTTTCTCTTTGACTCGTTGGATGGAATTTTATTCGCATCTTTTATGCAATATTCCAGTTTTGCACATAAATTTATGTAATATATTTGGATGGAAACATAGCTATTGCCTACATTTTAGTCACACACAGAAGAACTGTACTAGAATGGCTTATCCTTTTTTAATAAATAATTAAATTAAATTCACCTTCGACATGCACTGTAACTAGATTAATGGGATTATTATTCTTTCTAAAAATTATTTTTAGTACTGCTTACCTTCTAAATGTTATATTAACCTCTATCACTTGATCAATAATAAGGCAGACACACAAGTGCACTGTTAAATCATTTAAAACTAATAAATGTATAAAAAAGTTTAGAAAGAAAATATAAACGTCACAAATTACATTACTTATTTTATTATACTTAAATATTTAAATACTTAAAAAGTGAAATTAGGCATTAACTTGAGCAGCTGTTTTCCCACGCTAACTGTCTCTTCTTCACTGATGGTTGCTTCTTTTCAAATATATACACACTCATATTTGCTATAACTTTGCATGAGAACATCAAGTTCAGCTGGAGAAAGAAATGGTGATCTCTTTTATAAGATGTTGCCATGGTCACTCGTAATGTCTGCGCTCCATTGATAATGCCTTTTTAAAGTCACGGTGCTCGCGCTTAACTCAGAGTTGGTCTACTCGAAGTTGATTGACCCAACTCAGATCAGCTGTTCTGAAACCGAGTTTTTAATCTCTCGGTAAATCAACTCAGAGTTCAAGTTTAAACTCTGAGTTGTTTGAACCTCCTTACTGAAACAGGCCCCTGATCTTCTTTTAATGAAAACTCTCTGCAGGTTATTGCTGAAGTTAATTAATTTTATACAATTAAATTGCAAAGGAATATGTGAAATAGTTTTTAATGTTATTTTTTTATATATTATTAAAATGTTTGGAATATAAAATTTAAGCTAGCATTGAATCATATTTGAAGTAGATTTCACCAAAATCGAGGTAAAGATGATATGCACTTTACCATGAATAGCCAGAGGTTACACCCTAAATTTACTGCATTTAAAAAAATGAAATCTCCTGTCACAAATCAATCCATTTCAGTCATATAATCACCTTTAACACGTACACCAAATATGAAACCTTGAGGGACGGACATTTCTAAAAAAAAAAATTCAATATATTTTTTTTTACTTTAAATTAGTTTATATTTTTTTAAATATAAAATTACACCCTCCCCTTGAGAAACTTGCTATTTAAGATTTATAGTACAATATTTAATTTCAAATGTAACCTTATATAAACTTAACGTGTTATTAAATATTTTGCATAGAATTAGAAACAAATTAACCAAACGGATATTGGGTAATTTTTTTTTGATTCAATCTTGTCACAAATCAATCAGTTTATCACATCATCGCCTCTAAAACATTTTTTACCTAATGCCATTACCTAAAGTTAATAAATGTAACCTGTAAAGTATTACCACTATATGTTGTTGAATGTCAATAATGTTACAGTCTAAAAGCAATATTAAAATGCTCTTTAATAATATAATACAAGAATATATATATATAAAAAAAAAGAAAATGTTTGGTTCTAATGCAAATAAAAACAATACGCAATACATTTTGTAATGTTGGCTGTCCATTGATGATGTTGCGTCCATTTCCTCACCTAAATAAAAGTCTGCTGGACATTCAGAGCACATCAGTCCACATTAATAAACATAGGGGATTATTCTGTAGGGCACTCGTCTGCAGTAAGTGTCCCAGGCCACTCCGTATTTGGCTCGGCATTGTTTCTCATCTCTGGCTTCTCGGTGGATGAGCAGAATAGTGAAATATATGACGTAGAAGTAAGGCAGAATGTGGGATATTCCTGTGAAGAAATTGTGGAAGAATTAATTGTTGTAAACACGCCACAACAGAACCTGCCCTTTTTATAAAATGATTGAATTAGTTTAACTCCTTCTCCAACTGTCCAGCAGGTTACAGCATTTTATTTAATGCCATGTCAGCAACAATTGCTATTTTCATCGCAAAAATATTTAATTAATAAATATATAATTAAAGACACACAGATATATGAATACATAAATTGGGTAAGATTTTTTATGTTAATAAATTATTAAAACAATCGTTCTTTTCCTTTGTTGAATACATCCTCGAGCGAGTTCATTTCATAAAAAAGCCTTCTGCAGTCAGGACAGTCCACTAGATTTTAGTTTAATTCAATTAATTATTAAAATGTAGGACACCAAGAAAAGTTCAAACACATTGTAAAAGTAAAAATCATAATTAATGCTGTATTTGAAAAAAAATAAATAAATAATCAGTATGTGACTAGAACACTTTAATCATATGCAAGTTATAATTAAATATGGTTTACTCACCACAAGGCAGGGACCAGGCTAGGGCCATCAGAAGGTCACCCAGGTAGTTTGGATGTCTGACAAAACCCCACCATCCTGATACCAACAGCCGCTTTCCTGTTGCTGTCGCGATAGTTTCCAGGTCTGCAAGAACAAAATTCTTAAATGCCAACATTTCTATTTCAAATCTAGAAGAAATTTCAGTTCACAGAATAGAGCAACAACAAAAAACTAAAATAGTTTTCCTAAAATTGCCTCTTAATTTTATCCAAAGTTCAAAAACAAAAATCACTGCAAAGTAAAGTAGTGATTACTGACGTGCTACACTTTTATGCTTGGGGTCTCTTCTGAACTGATTTTTCTGAGAGTTGGACCTCCTGAAAATGTAATAGCCAATTCCTGTGAAATATAGAAAGGAGAGTTAGAAAACATAAAGAATCAACATGGCTACAAAACAGGATGTTGGTTACCATTTAGAAGCACAATCCCCACGGCACCAAGAGTACTAAGTGACTGTGGGTGAACAACCAGAAACATGGCCTGAAGACTATACGTGAAGGGAACCCAGGCCAGATCACCAAACGCCAACATGAACCCAAATCCATCATGCACAATATCCATTGTAGTAAGAACGGCCTCCTGCAGACACAAGGAATGATTTAACACCATTTCCACTTGTTTAATTAAACATTTCATAGGTTTGCAGACGACACTAGATTCTCCTACTTCATTCCAGAGAGCATCTGTCACGTAGAGGAGCTGAAATCCATTGACGAGCAGCATGGCAAGAGATGGAGAGTCGCGCAGCTCTACTTCTTTCATTAGCATCCCTAGGTTTATGACCACCTGAAACACAACAGATACAATTTGGTTGATCGGATCAAATAATTACATTACGTCAATTCCTATGGGTCTGTGTTAGAATCTAGTTCAATTCTAATCATGTTTATTTATATAGCGCTTTTACAATTAGATTATGTCAAAGCAGCTTAACATAGAAGTTGTTGGAAAGCAATACTTCATAAATTATGCAACAATTTTTGTATCCCAAAGTTTATGAATTAGATCTACAGAAAGAGAATGTTGTATTTAGAGGCTGTTTGAAAGCATTTAACCCCATGAGTGAAAACAATCCAATCAAATGTGTTTTTAACTACATTTGAAAGTGGTTAAAAGTGGACAAGCTAAAAACCTTTCAGCCTATTTACAACAGTCGTTAGGTGTCTTTTACACTAGTGCATTTTTGTTTTAAAATGCTACTTTAGAATGAAAGCATATCTGTAACTAAAGGTATGTATTTGAAAACAAAAATGCACTGTAAACCAGAGACAGAAAGATGTGACAATTCTATTGACCACAATGGAACAGCAATGGCAGCTCATAGAGCCTCCCACTAGCTCCTCAAAGTTAGCACTTACAGCTGGGTTACTGTTGAAGATGGCTGGTTTTGCACGTTTGAAAGGTACGAATTTTCTTAAAATAAATTAGTGTATGTTTTAACGTTATCAAACATTATTTGATTTAACCACACAGCCATCCCTGGAACTATTTGAGTCTACATGAATCATGTGATGATTGAACACTTTAGACTTTCATTGTCGCAACTCTCCCTGTAAATGACACCTTATTGTCATCCACTTCTGATTAGAATGACACAAAAAGCATCTTAAAAAGGAAGTTCACCCCCAAAATGAAAATTGTCATTATTTATGCATCCTCCACTTGTTTCAAACCTGCTTGAGCTTCTTTCTTCTTTTCAACACAAATAAGTATACTGAAAAATCTGGGGGAAAAACAGCCATCCACTTACAAATTATTTTGGTTCCTATTAGGGATGACAATGACTTTTTTTTTCAATATTCTTCAGAATATCTTGTTTTGTGTTTAAAAGAGAAAGGAAATACAAGTTTAGAACCACCTGTGTGTTTAAATTGTGAGATTTTTAATTTTTGGATGAACTATCCAATTAATACAACTTGCAAATAGGGTCTTCCAGAAGCAGTCAAAAATTTATTTTACTGGATGCTTTCATAGTGCTCAGACCCTCCACCTAAAAAATAAAAATAATTATATATCTGGACGTAAGAAATGTGTTAAAATGTTAGGTGTAAATGGAAATCTGTTTTTGCTCATTTACTTGTGAACCAATAAACAAAACATCTGAATACCAGAGGCCTGTACATGAAGCTATATTAGCTGGCTAGCCAGTTTAGTTTGCACCAATAATGGGTTTTACCTAAAAAGGCAGCTCGACTTTAATCACTCTTTGTTCCCGTGGTTTTATGAAGCAGTTGCACTGAGCTACCATCATGGTACCTAAAACCCAGAGTTAATGCAAACTAAACTGAAATCTGTAAACGGTGTAAACATGGCCACAGTGTCAAATTATGAATGATCATGTGACACTGAATACTAGTGTAATGGCTGCTGAAAATTCAGCTTTGGAACCACAGGAATAATTTACATTAAAAAAAATAGTTTATACTTTTATTTAGAAAAAAAATAGTTCAAAATGTTTTGATCAAATAAATGGAGCCTGGCTGAGCAGTGAGCACACGACAATTCTTTCTGAAAACAATAAAAATATATATTGTATGTGGATGTAAATATCTGGTGAGAGTCTTACCCAGCCTATTAATCCAGGTCTTAGTTCACAGAAATATTTCAAGTCAAAGTTTCCAATGCGAGGGTTGAGCTCTCGACCCATGAAGAAGTCATACAGAGGATTTCCTGCAAATGAGAGCGAAACTGAATTTACAAATGTTTTAAAGAGACATGAAGTAGAATTGTCAGTGTTGTTCTCATTTGTAGCTTTGGATTAAATTGTCTGCTAAATAAAAATGTTTCTGAAAAGATTTTGAATTAAGCTCAGGTGTACGCAAAATGGAATGTTACTCATGGATAATCATATTCATCTCTAAATACCAAGACATTATCTCACCT